ACATGCTAAGACACTTTGAAAAGTTATGAATCCAACTTTTCTCCCCCCAGTTATGGGTAAATAGTAGGACAGACTGGGTTCTATAGCCTTGGGTGGCAACCAGTCCAGGAGAAGGAAAACTCTGAATTCAAAACTGTATGTAACCTTGGTGAAGCACATACTATACATTTAAGGAAAGGATCATTTGCATTGATTCAATGATCCTGAGTATGGTCAACTCCTTTTTTCTTAAAATAAAAATGAAGCATCTACTCAAATATGAGTATTGATTAAAATAATGTTTAAATAATAAAATATCTGCTGGATTAATAAATAAAAATTCCATTATTCCTTTAGAAATATCTTCTTCGCAATGTCGAATTTTGTCAGCCATACTCTTAAATCTTCTTCTAAGGATTCTAGCCATGATCGATTTTGGTTTTTAATATTGTTTATTCCAGAAAAGCTGGCTTTACACAAATATGACATTGAGAACAGAAGAAGCATTTCTATTGCTTTTTTTGTAATATTTGGAAATTCACCCTTAAGGGAGAACCAAAACGATTTCATATCTATTGTTGAATATTTTGCAATACTCTGTCTTTTCTTATTTCTGTTAATTTTTCCACTTTTGTAATATTTAAAGTTGCTGACATACAAATTTGTTAAAACAAAGGTATTTCTCACCCAATTCAGAGATCTTATCTCACGTGTAGGTGCAGGAAAATATTTTTCCAAATTTGTTTACAATAAATGTAAAGTTTGTAAAGTTTTTGCCACATACCTATGATCCTCTCAAGATAGTCCAATGTGATGTAACACACCGGTGTGATGTGTTATTGTTTCGTTACTCATTTTAAAAACATCTGGTTTTGTAGAAAAGAGTTCAATATTTTATGTTATCAGTTTGGTATGCCATTGTCTACTTTTCTTTGCGGAGTCTTCATATCAATTTGCTACAGGTTCTCAACAAAATCCAAAGACAGATATGCAATGTGATCGGTTCTGACTTAGAGGTCTTGACTTCAATGACTTTCTCACCAACATAATGTAGCTTCCCTCTGTCTTTTCTATAGATATTTTCATGGTATCTGCTCTGACAAGCTATTTTCACTGGTAACCTGATTGCATGAATTTAAGCTTGCTGCTAGGTAGGCATGTCAGTCCCACCCTTTTACTGTCGAAACAGTTAAATGTAACTGTCTCTTCTACTCCAACAGCTTCTTCTCTCGCACTTCCCAACTGTGGAACTCCCTTCCATTTACTTGTTTCCCTGATAACTATAATCTTCAAAAATTTAAATGTAATGTCAATCAACATCTTCTGATGTCTTGATCCCTGTTCTTCTTTTTATTCTTTCCTCAATCCTCCTATACCCAGTCTTTTTCTTTACTTTCACTCACTGTAGCCCCCTTTGTACTAGTGGCACTCCCACCTTGCTTGAGGTGAAATGCTTAAAAAAATGTATAAAAATATCTCATATCACTAAAACTAATTTGTTCAGATACCTAAAGAAGACTAAAGAGTACAATTACTAAAATGTTGTGACAATAACAATCAAGATGAAGATATGAGTTGAATAGTTTAGTGTTTCATAATGATAATTTCTTTTCTAAAATATTCAAATAAAAATACCACAGATAAGCTTAATTAAGTGAAATTCTGTGTACAAGGGGTGACAGTTTAATTCGCAGTAAGGTTCTGTGGAAGCAAAGTTTGCTTATCTGGTTCCTATTGGTTGCTGTAACCTTCTGAATACTCATCTTGTGAAGTTATACATTTTGTGAGGCAGTAGTACCATTGCTGGAAGCATTCTTGGAAGTTCTTTTCTAGAATATTTTTTAATAATGTAGTCATATGTTGCAAGATGGCATTTTCTAATTTTGAAGATTACAGATGACTAAGTGTGGTGGTCCCATTTTTTTTCATGAACTCATGCATCATTTTTCTCATCAGGAATTTCTGGAATGAGGAGTTATCATTATTTACATTATTTACAATCATGCCATTGTCCTTATTTTTGTTGTTGTTAACATAAGTTTCAGCCACTGGGGCCTCTGGCCTTCATCAGGTGTATATTGCTCTAGGATATTTAATTCAGGAATTCCAAACTGGATTCTTTATGTTATGGTAATTTACCCATGCATGCATGGACTCGCCCAGCTATAAATAGGAGCAGGTATTGCCTTTTGGAGAGGAAAGTTTCCAGCAGTCAGCTCTGACAGTCGGACCGAACATTTTTGCTTTAACACTCTCGGTTGTATATATTTGTATTACTGTTTCTGTTAATATTTGTTTAACTCAATTCCTCTCTTTGTGTCTTTATTTCTGGCCCTAACAAGGCCACAACATTTTAATTAATTTATGTTCTCATTTCACTGCCCATCTGTCTAGGGATATCTCATCTGAATTTGGTGACCTACTAAATGTGACTTCAATCCCTGGGCTGAGCAGTGTGTACTTGGACTCAGTGGAAACAGGGTGAGTAATAACTGAGAAGTACTAAAAATAAGGACACATGGCACAGTGGATAAAGGCGTTGGTTAGATCCAGTGACAGACCCAAAGGAGGTGAGTTCAATTCCTGGTTAAGGCAGTGGAGAACTTTCAGAGGGAAAATTAGCAGGAGATAACTGATAACTGACATCCATCAAACATGGCACGTGGAACTAGAACAGTCTACCCCAGTGATCGAAATAAAGGGTTCAGTTCGAAATTCCAACCACCTGAAGAAGGCAGGAGCGTACAACGGCCGAAACGTTGTGACAAATATGGCGACAAAGATGAGGACAATAGTCCGACTAATGTAAATACTGTACATAATACCTCATCTCAGAAATATAGACAATCCCTAGACACATCATGAAGGTTAAACATGTAATTTCGTCAATGGCCAAAATGCTTTGATAAATGTTGTTTTCTGTTTAGGATTGGGTTTCCAGTTCCTTCTAAAGTCTTTTCCTTCTCTTTCCCTTCCAATAGTCTCTTGCGTCTTAGTGGCATTATTGCCTTGCTTGGGGTGAATCAATTAAAAAAAAAAAGAAAGATGAGGACAGTAGTTTAAATGTAAATAGTGTAAATCATATCTAGTTCTGCTATCAGTTGCATACTTAATCTTCAGTCTAAGTGCACAAAGGTTTGCACTTTGTCCACATAATAAGGGTTAAACTATCCAAAGTTATAGTGAATATATTAAAGGTGCATATTTTTGTACATAGTACACATATTGCAATTTGGTCCAAAGTATAGAGCATTTTGGTAAATATACTACTAATAAAAATCATTGGTCATCATTTCATGCTCAAAAAATGTATTTTTATACCATATTTAACTTACCCCAAAGAAACCAAATGTAACACATCCCATCTGATAATCAGCCATGTGTGATACACACTTGGGCAATCATGTCTCTTTTGATACATGACAAGCTAGACAGAAGATTTTCTTGTAGTAATTTGCCATTTCTTTCTGAGATAGAATGGTTGCTATCCAAGGCTATAGGACCCAGTCTGTCCTGCTATTCAACCCAGTGGGGAGTAGAAATGGATTTATACTTTTCCAAAAGGGTATTTGTGCATCAGTGATTGTAATGAACCCAACTGGAATTCAAACTCGGTTTCCTCATTTATCTGTTTATTCTATTATCCATTATATCACGCCACTCATCTCTTGTGTCTGATAATAAAAAACTCAAAATTTTAATTTTCTTACCTGTTGTTATATGCAAGTTTCACTGATGTTCGAGGAGGTTCTATGATAGTGGCAGGGGCTGGTTGCCGTCCCTTAAATCCAGGATAATCCTGTTGGAACTGTGTCTGATTTGAAAATCTTTGGGGTGTGGCTACCTTTAGTTCTGCTTTGCGTTCAATCTTGCTGGGACGATGATTTCCCGTATACTGCTTAAATGTGCTCTGATGGGTTGTCATCATTTGCATCTCACCTAAAATTTTTTAAAGAAATGGTGATTTTCTTAGCATAGCTTAGATGTGGAACAAGGCCAAAAGTATGGGGCACCCAGTGAGGATCGAACTCACTACTCAATTGTAATTGTTCTAGCAAGACAAGCTCACTAACCATTACACTACATTGAGGTGCCCAATTTTTTTAAAACAAATTCATAAGAATTTTTTTTTTGTTACTACATGGAAGTGTTGCTCTCTTGAAATTTTCAGACTATGCCAATTTTGGCACAAAGCCAAAATATAAAAACTGCACAAAAGAAAGACTGCTAAAAATAACTATCATCAGAAAGTGTAGGTTTTGATGATTGTGGATATATATATATATATATATATATATATGAGAGTAAGTCATAACATATTTTAAGCCTTCTGCTTATGCATGCTTATAGTTGGTACTATTATAGTCCTGTTATTGAAGTTTGGGCTTGATCATGCCAGTTTTCTTGCTGCTGTTACAGTGTAAACATGGCCGCTCTGCTAGCAGTGTGCACTAATGTGGAACTGAGAACAGTGGTTCGATTTCTCTGGTTAGAAGGTGTGTCAAGGGCTGAAATTCAATGGAGACTTTCAACACAATACAACAACAGTGCACTACTGTGTAGAAGTGTATATAAGTGGATCAAGAAGTTTACAAGTGGCCAGACAAGTATGATGCACAAGGAAGGAGTAGAGGATGCCTATCAACTTCCACCACTGACAAGAAGATTCAGCAAGCTTAGGAGATGGTAATAGTGAACCAGCATGTTATCATCAATAAGGTAGCATGTTCTCTGCAGATCTGGATCAGTTGCTCTTTGTTTCTCCTTGGTGAACACTGCTAGTGAAGTGGTCATGTTTGCACTGTAACAGCAGTAAGAAAACTGGCATGATCAAGCTCAAACTTCAATCACAGGACCGCAGTAGTACAAACTATAAGTACATATGCAAATAATTTTTGACTTACCCTCATATTTACGTTGATGAAGATCACTGGCCTAGTGGTAAAAAATGGTGCATTGTAAGCCTTGGAATCTCCAGACAGCCTATCTTAGGTTTGAATTCAAAGAATTACAGCTACATCATGTTGAAACACCAGTTCCCACATGATCACCAAAGTTAAGCAACATCGAGCCGGGACAGTATCTAGATGGGTGACTGCTTGAGGATACCAGGTGCTGTAATCTTGGATGTGCAAGTGATGTAATGAATAATGGTTTGGAATTGTTAATCTGAGAGATTTGTTCAAATACCAGTTGGGTTTGTTCCTTACTTGCAGATACCCTTGGGAATGATATGAATTCACCTCTTCTCTCCCCAGTTATGGGTTAATTAGTCAGACTTGTATCACTTAATCATTATTTCCAAAAAAAAAAATCTTACAATCTAAAAATATTTTCTAGCTTTAAATAACCACCAAAGGGTTGATAAACTGTAGAAAATGAATCGGTCATTCAAACATGAATTCAAAGCCAGTCAAGAAGAGATTTCAGTCTGCTCCGCTGTTTAACCCATAACTGGAGGAAGACGGATTCATAGCTTTTCCAAAGGTATGAATTGAATGAAGTAGTATTTGAACTCGGTTTGCTAATTCCATTTTCTGCATTGTTAACCATTACGCCACCTATACTACACTAACTGTTCAATTTTCACTTTCCTGCCTTGATCGAGTTCAAAATCATTTATGAAGTCTTGTGCAATAAGACTTTGCAACTTCTTTCCCACAGACACAAATTTGCAAGCCTATTGCGACTTTGTCGTTATTTCTATAGCAAATGTTCATATGAGTTCCATTCTTTAATGGTAATTGTAATTGTTACATCTATATAGCGATTTAGTAAGCCTAGCTTAGATGTGGCACAAGGCTAAAAGTATCGAGCACTAATAAAGATTGAACTCACTACTCAGTTATAATTGATCTAGTGAGACAAGGTTGCTAACTATTATACCACAGAAAGTACCTTTAGGGATTCTCTAAGCATAGCTTAGATGTGGCACAAGGCCAAAAGTATGGAGTACCTACTCAGTCATAATTGATCTAACGAGACAAGCTTGCTAACCATTACACCACATTGAAGTGCCCATTGTTAGATCGATAGAGATGCTAATTGCATTTAATTCAGCAGCAAGAGGAGGCTTGACAGCCCTGCTGGTTAAAAGTGATTCAATCCTGGAGCTGTATTTATGCTGCTAATTTCTCCTTTGTCAGTTTTTGATCAGGTGCCTTGTCAAGTCTTGTCACATTGAACAAGAAACTGCTGTTGCTATTCCCTTCTTTTAGATTTAGTATCTGCTCTTGCAGTAATATTAGCCATTTCCTTATAAGGAAATATTTGGCATTAATAGACCAAGTAGCCAGTACTACTTTTGGTTGAAATTTATAAAGTCTTTCTCTTAGAATATTTTTTCAGGAAAATAGGTTTCCCAAGGCCAGTAACTCTTTTCAATATTGATTAGGGTTTCCTTCCTAACCTTTTATTTGAAGTAGTGTGGAAAGTGAACATCTTGATTATGTCATTATTTTCTCTTCTAGTCATATGTGATATCCATTTTAGTTGTTGCTGCTGTTGAAAGTCCTCAAGTGATGTGGTTTCTGTTATTTGGCAGTTCTTTGTGATTCTATAGTGCCAGTCCAAAATGTTCCAAGAAAAATGGCTTCACTCACTCTAGGCCTTTTTTAACCATTGATCTTAGAAAGCAGTTATATAAAGCTGATAGTATACTATTTACATTATTCGGACTATTGTCCTCATCTTTGTCGCCATATTTATTACAATTTTTCGTCCGTTGTATGCTCCAGTCTTCTTCAGGTGTCTAACTAAACACTTTATTTTGCTCACTGGGGTAGACTAACCTTGTGATTGAAATAAATGGCTTAGTTCAACATTCCAACCACCTGAAGAAGGCCAGATCATACAATGACTGAAACATAATAAATATGGCGACAAAGATGAGGACAAGAGTCCGAATAATGTAAATAGTATACATAATACCTCATCTCAGAAATATAGACAAAGCTGATAGTTTAGATATTTCTGTATGGGTTTGATGCCATGCATGACATAGTCCGATGAAGCTATTTAAGAACATGTTTTGAATTGTCAGATTAATGTTTTGGTTTTGTAAGCAATTTGACGTGCTGAACAAAACTATCTCAAACACAGTTTAGTTTCACCAGTTTAAATATTTACAGCTAAGGCACATCGTGCTGCTTTCAAGGAGTTGAATCCCCATCATTGCATTTGTGCTCCAAATATATGAACTGCCATTTTGTGGAACTGATGTCACCAGGGTGCTTTACTGAAGAATTGAACTTTGACCTCTTCAAGTCAAAAGTTAATCATCATCTTTCTCCCTTATCTGCATAATCATCACTTTCTACCACCTACGTTTCCATCCATATGCATCTCATTTAGCATTACCATTTCAACAATGACTCTACCTTGAGCGCCTCTAGAGCCTTGTATCAGGTGAAATTTAGTTAAAAATAAAAAGAAGGTTTAGAAAATTTGACACCCACAGGATATAGAGAAGGCAATAGATGAAAACAGTGCTTAAACTACCTAACAAGCTCATGTAAATGGTTGACAGAACAGAGTTTAGTAGAAACATCAAAAAGACAAAATTTATTATGAGGTACAGATAACATAACATAACATTGTGACATGCCATGATTGCCAATGATTTGAAAGGATATGGCAAATAGAAGAAGAAGCAACCATTATGCCAATATGAGCTTCCTCAATGAACATTTTTCTATGAATTTTAAAAAATAATATAACAAAATGAAAAGTGTCTAGCACGCTATGGCAAATAGAATCTTCCAGTTTGTTTGTCCTACTCTTTCTTATTTTATTCCTATAACTGTCAATGCTTTTGTGCTTGTAAAATCTGATATTGCATTAACCCACACTAACTAGCCCTATACCAACTGAATTGTGATGCTCCCATCTCATTAGCAATAGAAATTTGATACTCATTACTGATTAGATTATATTTGAAATTTCATATACCTTGAAAAATGATCTGGAGTTGGCAGACAGGTGATAGCTGTTCGTTGGGTCACAGGTAATATGACTGCTTGGTTATGTGAGGAGAATAAAGTTTTGATTTAACAATTTCCACAAATTTTTATTTCTTCAGAAATAAACGTCCTCATGTCTTGTCAGATGCAAAAATTAGAGTAAATTTCTTAGTTGAATTTCCTCGTTTCTTCCTGACTGCTCTGTTTTATATTAGGAATTTTGTTTTATCTCTTTTTTTCTTTTTTCACTTGCTGCTATCTTCAATTACAGAAATGTCTTTATAGCAGCTGTTGTTTCTGTTCCAAAAGCTCTTGTTTCAATTTTCATTTGGAAAATTGAATTCGAAGAGAGTGGTGAAAAGTTCTCAGCCCAACCAATAAAAGATTATTAAACAAAAGTTTTGATATTTAGTCATTTGTTCATATTTTGGAAAGTGGCTCAAGTGAAGAAATTTTAATACTTCTTTGTACAAATATCAAAATAAGGAATTAAAACTTGTAGAATGATGTCAGAGTAAGGTAAGAAGTTTTATATTGTCTTTTCACTACATGAATATATATGTGTTAGTATGTTATATATATATATATATATATATATAATTATTTATTTAAAAAATTATAACATAAATATGTTATAAAATCACTACAAAAATAGCCATTTTGTTTTAACACCTCCAGTGTCTTATCAAGTGATGTATGTGATCTGTATTGAGCACTCTTTTAAGCATAGTAATTGTTGGTTATTGGAATTCATTCCGTATACACCAATTATATACTTGGTATATATATATATATATATATATATATATAGATAGATAGATAGATAGATATTATACACACTCTCTTCACCAATAAGCAACTTAGGTTTTTAACAGAATTAGCATGGGATGAACTTGATAGAAGAGTAAAAAAAAAAGAAAAAACCTCATAGAGACATTAAAAAAAGAATGGAATCAATTATGAAACTTATACTTTGAGAAACTTTTGGAACAATGCCAAAAATTTGTGTTGCAGTAATCAAGGCTAAAGGAGGATATTTTGATGAGAGCAAATCATGAAAGGATTTTTTTCTTTTTGTCATAATAAAATTTTGTAATCAGTCTGTAGCAAAAATTACTGAAGTCTTTGTCGTCTCTGTCTTCTTCTGCTCAGTTTTATGCTGCAGTTGACAAAGAAACGAACAACATGTGTGTCTTTTGCACAACTCGACACCTTTTTTCGTCCTTACCCTCACAAACTCTCAGCTTTTATGCCCGTGAGGCATACATTTATGCAAATGAATACAGGCCTCGCTCCCAGTCTGGTCCAGTCGTCAAAAAGAACAAATTGTAGTTCAGTGCGACGCATTTATATATGAAACAGCCCATTGAAAATAAATAAATAAAATAAAAGAAAACAAAATTATCCAGACACTTAACAACATACTATGGTGCCAAAATCTATCTTTCTCTGTGAATGAATAGACGATGCGTGTACAAGAAAGACATCATTCGCTTTGAAATAGACACCCCACCCTACCTCAGCTTGACCTCTCCCTGAAGGTAACTGATATGTTGATAAAAATTAACTCTTAGGCCCCTTATCAAAAATGATTGCCCCAGTCATCTCTGTAGTAACGAATGAACATGCTTATAACGATATGTAAATTTCAAAATTGGTTATTCCTAAATTTTTGCTTGAGGATGAAACAGGGCTTGTTACTTTAATTCAATTTAATTTTAATAAGTATATTGATGGTTTTGGCTCTGGTTTTTGAAACATGAGAACTCTTATGTAGTGAAGGAATCATATTTTTAAAAAAAATTATTATAATCTAAGCTCTACTTCTGTATGGAGCACTGTTTTTTAAAAATAAAAAAACAAAAATACTAAAGAAGCCTGGATTATTTACCTAACGTGTTCTTTCCTATTTTTCTACATACCTGCACACACACACACACACACACACACACACACACATATATATATATATATATAATAATGAGTTAAAAGTTGACATAATAATGTAATACTAATATAATAATAAATAATGATTTAAAATACCTACAAATATTATTTCAATTATTTCTGTTGAATAGCCAATAGAATAATTTGAAACATAACTGTTGCTGCCTACTTAATAACAATTAGGATAATACAATAAACCGGAAATACCTAGCCT